AGTAAACTTATGATTCCGGTGATCGCAACGCCTTCTACTTCTCTATCTAAATATAACTTTCCTTAATTTGATATTTTTGATCACTTGCAGCACGATTAAATGTTCACTTACACTCGCTAACCAAGAATTAAATGCTTAACCACAAATTATGTTTAACAGTTTGGCGGGGAGAATAGATATTTAGGCGGCCCGGCAGGACAGTTTTGCCGTTTCGGCTGTATTACGCAGTCCCGTAAGAAGTGACTGCAGATCGACTCGGCACTACGAAGGTACGAAGGCTTTTAGAGTGGTCTTCCTTTGGGTTAAACATTTCATGCCACTATTTTTAAACCTGAACTTGATGTCAACGGGTGACGAGGTATTCTTACCGCTAAACACAAACATGACGCCTGCTTCTTCAAGTTTTCTGAGGCAGTCACTTAGACTTTGTCGTAAAGGGTTTCATGCAGAAGTTCTTACTCCTTTACCTACTAAGGGTTTACTCAGACTAACGCGAGCGTTCTAACAGACCTCGTATCGTTTGGACTGTAGTTCGCAGCTTCTTACTCGCGACGGATGGCAACTAAATGGCCAAGCCAAGCATGGATCCCAGAGGCCGAAGTTAAACAAGAAAGAGCTCGTTCGGGGGCAGTAAGAGGGTTTGCTGAAAAAAAATTAGGCCGTATGCATTATACAAAACACCTTTTAAGGACTTCGATTTGTTCAAAGAAACAGAAGTACACAAACAAGTCTACTTGGTTACCAGAGCGATGGAGGCCTAGAAAGAGTTTTCTTCAAGAAATTTTATTTAACGATAGAGAGGGGTCTTCATCCACTTACATTTCCCCTTTATGATTGACGCTACGGTATGGAAAATCCGTCTAGCGCTGCGATTCAGGGGGCAAATACGATAAAAAGACCGTTTCTACTGGAAGATTACGTCAATGGCATTTGCAAGAGTGGTGAAACAAAATGAAATGGTAGTTTTTAGGGAAAGCAATCTGTAGCCAGAAATTACAGCTTGGAACAAACGCAAGTAAATGATAGTAGACAATTTAATCTCAGGGCGAAATTTACCCTGACTCAGCGAAACATCGCCGGAAGGAGAGTTCGAGGGATTGCAAGTCCTAAAATAAATTCAAAAAATTAGATTGTAACTGACAAAATAAAATGTAGGGCAGTAAAGATGACTGTATAAATTCCACTCGTCAGGACCCAGAGGGTTTCGAACAAAGAATGAGTCCGCAAAAACCAATAAATTGGTATGAAGAGCCACAGCGAGCGTGAGCTACGGGAACATACAGTACGCGCCAGAATTCGTGCAACATGCTGACATATGCGAAATATTGATACTCTTTCGCTCATCCGTATTGACTCAGGTTGTGATAGTGATTTACCGTGTAGTCTATTCTGCAGTTCATGATAGGATGCGGGCTTTTTAATGAGCTTCGTTCTGACCACTAGCAAAACGCATGTACTGTAAAAAGTAACTACTTAAATAGTATGCGTTTTTATCACTGATTTTGACTGCCTTTATAACTTCAAATACATTTTAAGGAAAACATGCAGGAAAAAAACTATTTCTTGTACTCGTTTGGTAGAAAAATTACGCCTTCGTTAAATTTTATACTTACAGAAAAGGTATCTTTTGGTTTTAAAAAGATTTCTAATTATGAGCTTTTTTAAGATTGTGAGGTATTCATAATACATAGTATCTGTTAATTTATTAATGTTGCCCATACGTATAAAGTGTGCTGCAAAATTTTATGAGGACTATATGACTTCTTCCTCAAACTGTAGGCGAAAACGTAGTTTTCCTTAAACAGGATGTACACAGTGCGCAGTTTGTAAACCTTGAATTCAGATATAGCAGTCAGTAGGTTTTAAAATTATTCGGAAATTTATAAACTTTTTTTAAAACCGAAAGATACCCTTTCTTTAAGTATACAATTTAAAAAAGGCGTAATTTTCTACCAAACGAGTACAAGAAACGATTTTTTAATGCATGTCTTCCTTAAAATACATTTGAATTTATAAAGGCAGTCAAAATAAATGACAAAAATGCACACTAATTATGTAGCCACTTTTTATAGTACATCCGTTCTGCTAGTGGTCAGAACTAAGCTCATTAAAAAGCCCGCATCCTATCATGACTGAAATAACTGCAGGATAGACTACACGATAATCACAATCACAACCTGAGTCAATACGGATTAACGAAAGAGTATCAATCTTTCGCATATGTCAGCATGTTGCACGAATTCTGGCGCGTACTGTACTCAATATATATATACCTCGAATTTAATTAGACTTTAAAATGGAGGAGAGAGAAGAGGTCAAAACCGGAACTTAAGTAACAAGATTAACAAAGGACGGTAGCTCACCTGAGGATTTTTGATCCAAATTGTGTGCAGAATGCCGTTCTCAGTACCACAAAAGACATGGTTACTGTAGGGAGCTGAGCAAATGCTTGATAACGGTGGACTGTTGGAGAGGACGGTGGATGAAAGTTGGCCAGTAAGTGCGTCAAAGAACTGAAAAAAGAGAGCGAGACTGCAGTTGTACAACACGCAACACCTGAAAGAATCGTCATTGCTGATAAAAGCGCAATGTCATGCAAACAGCAGGAGAAAATAATGTCAGAGCCTCTGCCTGTGGACTAGTCAATGGTGATTCGAAGTGGAATATAGAGCCAGAACGTGAAATGATTACAGAGATCCGACTGCTAGAATAACTAAGGCGCAAAAAACGGACGTCGAAAAACTTGATAAGTTAAAATGCGTCACATTGAGATTGAAGAGAGAGTTAGCACAGTATATGTGCTATCTCATGAAATCCTAACCGACTTTCTGAAAGGATTTTTTGATTTTCTAGTTAGTAGGGACTCATCGTAGGGCCATCCAATGGCAAGAGTCTCCTGGCTAACATGAGCAAGGAAGTGTTTGGATAGGCGGAAAGTCCACCTACTGAAAATGTGCAAGTAGCTTTTTTAAACTATTAATACCTTCCCTCCGGCGGCCCCACAATGAATCCCTCCCCTAACGTTGACTCAGTTGCCATAATTTTTATTTATTATTTGTCATGCTATTAATTATTATGCAGCATAATCATATGATATTTCAGTCATAAGAGGCTGACGGCTTTAAAACGAGCTACACTTGTCAAAATAACTCTTTAAAATTACTAATTATATAGTTGACGTTTTTCTTATTGATTTTCGATGCTCTTAGACACGTGTAGCAATATCCTTTTTGTACCCTGTTGGTAGCAAATTACGTATTCTGCAAACCTGAGGAAAGGGCCTCGTTGGATTTTAAGAAACTTTTCAATTTCTGAATAATGTTGAAACTGACCTGGTGTTACACTTGTATTCAGGGTTTAACAACACCATGCTGTATAAACTCCACCTAAGAAAGTCAAACATGTGTCAACGCTATTAGAAGACGTCCTGTAGAGTTCCTTAAATATTGC